GGACCTAAAATGTAGATAGCTACTACTCACGTGCAATCATCTCTTAGGCTACAGATTATTCCAAGTTTAAAAACAGCATTCTCACCATCATGTCCAGGAAGATGTTCTCTGTGGACCCCAAGGCATGTGCAGAGGGAGATTTGAGAAGCAGAGCAGCTGACACACTGTACCCATGGGGGACAACTTGTCAGCTTCAGAGACCACTGTGCTCTTCTGGAAGGATGCTGTCCTCACCTGTGTATTTGCATCAAAGTTGGGAGGTCAGCTCCAGAAAAGGAAGCAAGACACGATGGTGTTTAATGATGTGTTTTCTGGATCCAAGTGTGCTGCTTCTTTTTCCTACCCTTTTGGTACTTACCATCCTCCTTTTCTTCTCTCATATTAAAGGGGAAAATTGCACGCTACCTTGAAATCCTTTTTATGATGAGGTAGACCAAGAGTAATAAATATGCACATTGACATTTGCTTGGGAACCTAGAATATAAAGGCACTAGCTCTTTCTTCTGGTTAGACATGAAATCACAATTAAAACTTCCTCAAATTCTCTGTTGTCCTGGTAACTGCTCTCTCCTCAGAGAACACGGAGGAGAGATTGCCCAAAAGGGTCTGGAAGGAGAGTGAGAGCTCACTAAAGAACTCTTCCTGATGATCATGACCAAACAAGCTGTGCCAGGACACAGCACAGAGTTGGAGAAGAGTCCTCCTCCATCCAGGTTATCCCTCCCTGTTGCTGTAATGTTTGGGGCTCTGCTGCTGTTAAAAGGCTGTGTACATCATAATAACAAGATTGGCTACAGTACACCAAAAACACTGATGACAAATAGTATTGTGGGTAATCAGATTGCAAAGCCTCTTAAACACAGTCAACCCTAAAAGATATATTTAGACTTAGAAGAACAGTAGCTGGGGGATTTTTTTCAAAGTGTCAATTGGTGTGAATGAATAAAGATCATTTCAAAGCAGCTACACTGCTAAGGGATTAAGGCCAACTGGAACAATTCACTTAAAAAAAAGGCCTCCGAGCTCAAGAGAGCAGCTCATATTTTTGACTGAGGCCAATATATTTTAATCCCCAGGTTTTATACTGGTAGCCCTGAAATGGCTCGTCTCCCTCCATTTGTCCAAAGAAGAATGACTCTTAATTGTGCATAAATAAAATCTTGCAGCTATGAGACAATTGTATGAAGCAACAACAAAGAGGGGAAACTTTAAGTAGCAGTCATTTTTATTTTGGCTTAACAGATTTTTAGCAAGAAGACTCTGAATATGAATCGGCTTCATTTTTAAATCCTGAGGAAAATTTCTAAGCAGCCCATAAGGTGCCACTTCAGTCAGAGGCAATTAAAAACTGCCTAGAATAGCAACCAAAAAAAAAAAAAATCACAAAATTTGTTTGGACATTGTAGGGAGAAAAAAGTTACAAATTACGTTAACTCTATTCCCACCCCCTCCTGAGTTGATTTGCTTTTATACTCCTAAACTCTTCCTCAGTCTTAGGAGGGAGGAATTGGGTGGGAAGTATGGTGTAAATAACTTTTTAAAAGAAGCCTGGCGTGGCAGTGCATGCTTGTAATCCCAGTACTTGAGAGGCTGAGGCAGGAGAACTACCGGGAGTTCGAGGCCAGCCCAAGCCACACAGTGAGTTCAAGGCCAACCTAACTACATAGCAAGATCTTGTCTCAAAAAAAAAAAAGTATATATGAAGATATTGCTTGTTATGTTTTGGTTGCAACCATGTAAATTTATAAGCATGCAATCAGAAAGATGGTGCAGACTCTCTCCCTATAGCCAAGCAATTCTTTTCAAGGGTCAGAGCCCTCCTTGACAATTGAGAAATCACTAGAAAAACCCAATTAGACTTTCTCCTCTCCTGGTCTTTGTTTTTAGGGTCTTTAAGGAGCTCTGGAGAAGGAATTTTCACATTTAGATATCAGATGGTGTTTAGCAACCTTAAGAATCTTGGGGAAAAAATATGGCCTCTCAAAGTATAAACCCCACAGAGAAGACACAGCTATTTCAGGCAGGTAGCACTGTAAAGTAGGCTCTCTATTCTCCTAGCCTCTGAAAAAGCTACTTAATGATGCATAAAACTAATTATTATAAAATAAGACTGAAGCTGTATGGTAGCTGTTCACAATGTGGAAAATCACACTTTTTCATGGCCTATTTTCTTTTAAAATGTGTGCCCTTTCCCCACCCTTAATGTGTTCTGTATATGTAAAATAAATACACTTCGCAGCAGGACCCTGGCTTGGAGGCCTTAAAACCTAATAAAAGAGCACTGTAGTTTAATGGTCCTTAAATGCTCAACATCTTTTTCACTTAATGTAAAATCCATCTGATCTAATAGCTGTGACTGAATTACAGATATATAATTTTTTTCTATTAAATGTTAATCTTCTGACTTGGCAGAGCAATAGATGCTCTAAATTACTAAGAAGGCAATAAACTCTCTAAACTCTTTCCAGAATTCAAAATATTTCCAGGTCTGCTATCATGGAGAAAAAAATCACAAACCTGCTTAAAACATAAAAGAAAAATCAGATTTATTAAGCACAATTTGATGGCAGATAGCAATTATAAGGGGCCTTGTTTTTTGATATCTGGATGGGATATATACACATTTAAATAAATACATATACACACGTGTGACTGAATTACATATGTATATAAAACTGGGGAAGCAATGCTCGTAAGTCTTGGCTCTTTATTTACATATGACGTTTTTGCTACCTTCTTCTTTTGGCTGAATTCATTCATCAACTGTGTTTGTGCATGTAGGCATACATAACGAAAATGCCCTCTAATACAAAAGCACTACCACATGGCCAATTATGCTAAGCACAAGCACTGCCACTGCCCAGGGAGTCTTGTCGAATGCCATTTCTGCTGCAGCTTGATCTTTTTTTTTAATTTGTACATTTATACTCACTTGAGCCAAAGGTCAATATATGCAGTAAGAATCAGAATCCATGCTAAGAAGCAGGTTAATATTTACCTGGAGAGGATGGTCTAAATGATTCTGTTCCAAATAACCAAACCAGAACATGAGATGGAGTTGAATTTCCAGCCACAAAGTCTGTTTCAGTTTTGCTGGGGACACCATTGAATAAAACGGGACTGGAAAGGCCTATGTTACTTTCCATTTTGCATTTAGCACACAATCTATATTTGTGTACACATGTGTGTGTGCACACACGCAAACTCTGCCTTTATTCATCTGCTGCTTCCCTCTCATTCCTAAAAACTGCTCATGATGTTAAAGGGCCAGGAGTAACACCAGGGTTCTTTCTTCCTTGCCAAGTATGTGCAGCTGTGTTCCACATGTTGGTCACAGTCAATTTTCTTCTGATCTGTATTTTGGTGTAAGGGTTTCTGCTGTTGCTTTGGTATACGGAATATGTAAAAAGGGAAAAGATCATGACAAAGTTGAAGAATCCAGTGATGATCCTTATTTTCTAATAAGGAAGCAATAAAAAGTAGTTTTCTTCTCCCAGGCTGGTGATGTACTTCAGTGGCAGAGTGTGTGTTTAGCATGCACAAATCCCTGGATTCATTCTTCCCACGCACACAAAAAAATAGTTTTCTTCCACCACAGAGAAGAAGATATCAACAGAAGCTCACCAGAACTGTGACTGAAGGTCTAGCATATATGCAGTTGGCACTGATACTAGTTATCATGAACACCAAATATTGATATGAAACTCCTCCTTTTCCTACTTTGAAACAAGTGAGTTGAACAACACGAGCCACTCAGGTAGGTAAGTAAGAAGCAGGTGAATGAGAACAGTTTTAGGTACTTATTAGAAAAAAGCTGATAACACTCAGGGTTGGGAGTGGAGAAATGCTGATGTCCTAAAGTTGCAACATTTTCAAAGCAGCAATGAGCCAAAGCATTTAAAATAACATTTTAAACTGTATAAAATCTGGTTACAGTCAAGAGAAGGGGTTTTAAAAAAAGCAAGGCATAAGAAAGACTCCATTTTCCAACTTTCTGTTGCTGTAACAGCTTAAAAAGAGGAAAGGTTTGTTTTAACCTCAGTCACTCGTCACCTGGCCCATTGCTTCTGGGCCTGCAGTAAAGGAGCACATCATGGAGGGAGTGTGTGGCAGAGGAAACTGGTCACCTCCTGACAGCCAGGAAGCAAAGAGAGTTGGGGAAGGGCCATGGTCCCAACATTCCCTTCAAGGGCAAACCCCCAATGACCTAACTTCTTTCCATCAGCTCCCACCTCCTAAAGGTCACACCACCTCCCAGTAGTGTCACAGGCTGGCAACCAACCACTGCTCAACACATCTGAGGTCCAAACCATAGCAAAGATTGAGCTAGCTTCATCTGGAATTTTAGAACAATACAGATATAGCTTTGTTTAAAGTCACTATGATATTAAAATTTAAAGAGTTCATCAGATGGGGCCGGGGATTTAGCTCAGTGGCACCGCACTTGCCTTGCAAGTGCAAGGTCCTGGGTTCAATCCCTGGTACCAAAAAATAAGATAAAGAGTTCACTGGATGAATATTTGATTTTACTAGATAATTCTTCATAACAATGATCCTCAGTCAAAAGTTTTTCCAATGAAGCAGGAATGATAAGAAAAAAACTAAGGATCAAAGCATAAAGGATAGTACCCCAAAAGAAATCAGTGATCTCCCAGAGAGGACATACAATATCTTAGACAATGATTGCCCTTCTTCCTTGGCCGTAAGTTTAGAGTCCTAGTCTTTCTGCACACAGGATTGAGAGAGCAGCATCATCCGTTATGTATGTTCCACTTGTTTACTAACTAAAAAGCTTTAATCACCAGTGTTGTACATGCAATCTCTGCCTTTGATAACAAAAGGTGAGTGGTTGAGACAATGGGATTAGTTTAACAGGGTCCTAGATAGTTAGCTAAAAACAATTATCTGTAATTTGGACATCATTTTGTACTCCAAATTTTCCAGATAGGAAATGGCCTAGCTTAACTTCTAAATGTTTTATAAGAATGTACAAGACAATGTTCTACAGAAAACATTTTATTAATGGTTGAAAACAAAACAAAATACATGTAAGGTTCCTTTCCCATCTTATTATGGAAAACACAACACCAAGATGAATGTTCAGTTTAGAATTTGCTCCACTGTTAAGCTTGAGTAGGTGACCAAAAACTCACAGAAATTAATTTTAAAAATTAGATATTGCTTATGTAAACTGTATGTACCTACCTAGAGAATTAAAAATGAGTCCAGTTCTGACTTTTCATCATTGTTTCTACACTGAAAAAATAGGATGATTTATTCTTTGGTGTGAGAAACTATTTTAATGGTCCTTTTCCCCTATTATACAAATGTAAAATTTTTTAAAAGTATGGTTCTGGATGCTCAAAGATATTGTTAAAGCATATTTTGCAATTTAAAAAACTTAATCTGAAGTGATTCATTTGTTGTTATTTCTTAACAAATTAGTAATTTTCTATCTGAATGGTAAACAAAATATTAGTAAAAATAATAAGACATAAACTTTTATTAACAAGATGTAGTTAATAAAAATAGTTGATTAGAGTATTTACTATAAACATGTCCAATTTTATTCTCTTCTTTGATCTATATTCTTGCAGTTTACTGTATTATTGTACTTCTGTCTAAAAGCTCAGGATCTGTTTTCTAAAATCGATTCTCTAATGCTAATTTTGTAGGAAAACTGCATTTTACATTACTAATCTCATTAATATAACTTTCCTATAAATAAGTATGAAACATTTAGAAAATGCAAGTATAATGAGTACTTGCTTTACTATAGTAGTAAATGTCAGTCACTGCTAAAAAAAAATCTAAAATTTTTGACACTTTGAAAAATCTAGCATATCATTTATCATTGTTCTCTAAATATTGGCAAGAAAAGTCACCACAAAGTAAAAAATTAAGATACTGTTGTAGAGATTATGAGGCAATCTTATTTATAAATTCCTGAAATATTCCTGCCCGTTCTTAACCTAAATGTAATTTAGCACTGCAAACCATTTATGAAAAGACATTTATTTAAAAGGCACAAAAATTATTAGTGTAAGAAGAAAAACAACTGTACCTCCAAAAGAAGTCAAAGGCATTCATTAAGTTCCCTCAGTAAGGATACAACTTGGCCAGCCAAGTTATAACACATTCCTTGAAACTACATTAGGAATAAGGATCAAGTGAGGACTGGAAAGGTCTTCTAATCCACTTAAACGTGGCCATAAACCAAATGAATTTTCTGAAATAAACCATTAAATTATTTCAGCCTGACCTCTCTTTGTATGGACCCATTCAGATGTCTCATGTTTCATTAGGGACTCAAAAGTTTAAAAATATGTAGTCAATCCAAAACAAAGTGTTAGGTAGTTTCCCTAGATGTAAAATTAACATATATAGAATAATATAAGATTTGAGCTAATACTGAAAAACTCAGTAACATACCCATCTAATTGAAAAAAAAAAACCTACTGATGGAACAAAATATATTTTATTTTAGTTATACTAGCAGAGTAAGGCCCAGAAGAGGCAGAGAGTTGCATATAGAAATCTCAGCACCAGCAGGATAAAGCAGGAGAGCCAGGCCATGCTGATGCTAGCATACCAGCCCCTGCCGCATCTGTATGATCTGCAGTAAAGCCGCCTGGACGTCTTCATCCATGTGACCCTTGGGAGAAAGAACAAAGAGGAGAAAGAGCTCATGTCATCTTTACTTACACAAGAATTCAAAAGACAAAGGCTTTATCCTGGGGCCCGACTGCACATGATTCACCACATGGTAAACCTTCACCATCAGGGTGATATTCTACAGGAAACGTAACTGGAAAAGGGAGTAGAGCTCTTGCATGAAAATAAAGAAAGCCAGTTAGTAAATAGTGTATATCAGAAAACAAATAGATAAACCCGTCTTCCCTCTCTGTCTCTCTTTCTCTTTCTTCCTCCCTCCCTCTAATAATGGCTCTGATGATTAGGGAGCATAAATTATAAATGAATGAAGTAAACTAAAAGAATTTTATTGTTGCTACTGTTGTTGAGATTTTCTTTGTTTTTAATTAGAAAGTAACTGAGGAAAAATCCCCACATTCATAGTTTCTACATAAATAGGATCATGTAATATGTACTGCTTTGGAATCTTCTTTTTTACTTAGTTTCATAGTAATCCCTAGAGCTACATAATTGTTTTAATTTTTGTATAATATTCCATTATATGGATATATTACATTTCTTTGCCCATTCTCCTAATAATGGATGGTATTTCCCATCTTTATGGACAGATAACCTAGAGAAGAAATTGCTGGGTCAAAAAGCAGGCTCAATTTTTAATTTTGCAAAGTACTATAAAATGTCCTTCTATTGAGATTATAACAATTTACACTCCCATCCAACAAGGTATAAACACGCTTTTCCCACACACTCCAGCCAACACAATGGACTATCATCTTGTTCAGTATGTATCAATCCCATACATAAAAATTGGTACTTCTTGTTCATTTGTATTTCCCCCATTACTGTCTAGGTTGAGCATCTTTTTACTGCATGTTAGCCATTTATATTTCTATGAATTCAAATGAAATACTTTAAATTTTAAAAAGTAGCAAGACTGATTAAATGCAAGTCAATATGGTGGGTTTATAATAACTCTACTCTTTTTTTTCCCCTTTTTGCTGGAGCACTTGCATAGGTTTCGACACAACATTTCTATTAATATAAAAAGTTTTACTTCCAAAAATCTGTTTTTATAACAGCAGGATGTTTAAATTTCAAACATTAGCCATAGTTGACTAAACTGAATTCTTAGTTAACTTCAGGATGCCAGAAGGCAAGACTATTTCAGATGCCAATTGCTTTCGTTATGTTTCATTAGGACTGAGTAAAAAATAATTTCAAATTTCAGAAGTGTATATTATACAAAGTAGAAAGGCTTATTTGTTTGTCATATCTTTCAGTGAGACCAAGCTCTTCTTCCACTGGCCAATACCAGTGTGTTTCTCATCCTCTCTTAATACTACAGATTTTCTATTCTTTTCTACTTGCCCTCCTAAACGACCTATTCTAATTTTTGCCTATGATTTTCTCTAATAACTGCAATAAATTTTCATATCCCCATCTATCTTCTATCTATTCAACTTTTTATTCTTTTTTAGTAGCTCCCACGCCATTGTTTTTTCCACAGGAAAAAAAAGGACACAGTGGTGCATGCCCACAATCCCAGCTACCTGAGAGTGTGAAGGAGGAGGTTTGCTAGTTCAAGGCCAGCCTGGGCAAGTTAGTGAGATACTATCTCAAAATTCTAAAAAAAATGTTTAAGTTTGGGGATGTTGCTCAATAGCACAGCATAGGAAGGAGATGCCCTTTGTTCAATCCCCAGTTACCTGTCAAAAAACCTGATATCATTTGTTTTATTCTTTTATCTAGTTATCTTTTTCAAATGCCCTTTTTGGAAGCTTCCTCTCAACACTTGTGTTTCCTTTTTTTTTTCTTAAACAGCAAGGCCTAGAACACTTCAAATCCAAATAATTCTTATTATTATCTCTCCCTTGTCATTCTAACATTTGTCTCTTTTAGGATATTTTCCTAAAAAACCTATTCTGAGAATTTTGGAGATGCTGTTCATATAATTTTACAGACGTCAAGAATATATCTTTATAAGTTAAACATTTTCTTAGTCTGTTAAAAAACCTGCATTCTTACCCTTAAAGAAGGAAATTCATAATCTTATGTTTCACTAAGTTTAAGGCTCAACAGACATTACCAATTATCTCTTAACAGACCAATTTTTCTTTAATTATTACAACTCTATGCACAGTCTGCTTGCCATTTTCAGACTTTTCTAGTATTTTCCGTATTTCAAAGAAATGTTCCTCTGCTACTAAGATGCACGTAAAGTCCTCTACACTCCCCCTGCAGCTGACAGCCCTGCTGGATGTCAAGGCATCAACGCTAGCCAGCAGCACCATGAAAACGTGCTGCCATCGCATGTTGCCAAACTGTCTAAAAAATGAGTGACAAGCAGATGGAGACAACACTAAATTTAAGATGCTGTGTTGCCACATAGCTTTGTAAATTTTTCTGGGAGATATGCAAGCCATGATTAAAAGAAACACAATTATTTTAAAATAAGCATATGGGATACAGCTACTTTAAACATCAATTACTCACACATAAATTTACTTCAAGATGAAAAATAAAGTATAGTATTTTCCTTTAAAAATAGCCTTTCCAAAAGAGCAATAGTACTTTACCTGTGCAGCGCTAAGAAGATGAGTTCGGTAAATTGCAATTACTTCTTGGTGCTGTCTGTCAGCATCCTAGAAATATGGAAAGATGGACAGATCAGAATATCAGCATTCACATCTCCAAACACAAGGCAGTTTGTGAGAATACCATCCTAAGGCCTGACCCTACCACACAGTGGCATTATCATCATCAAAGGGCTCCTGCTACTCTTCACAGAACGAAAGGATTCCATAACAGGAAGTAGTATACACTTTTCTAAGGAATGCATGGAGTGTTCATAGAAGCAATACCCCTTATCCAAGGTAACACGAAATTACTGCTTTAGTTTATGCCTACTGCCATGAACTTGCCCAGACACTTAAAATTTATGCTTTGGATGACTGCAAAAGTACCCTGTCTTTTTTTTAATTCATTAAGTTTATTGGTATATTTTAGGTGTACAGTATGATGACATTCATCATTGGGAACTTGTACCTTTACATGATATATTTTGGTTCTTATTTTTTCCCCATTCCCCTGCCCTCCCTTCAACCCCTCCACCCTTCCCTATTTACAAAGACTTTGTTTCCATTTTTTCCTTTTCTCATATTTATTCCTTTCCCAACCCTTACCCCTCCTAGTTCCCCTTCCCCTTTGGGCTTTGTCTTTCTATTTCACATTATCTATGCTACAACTGGATCTTTATTTACACTTTCAGTTTCTCACACCACAGAAACTATTCCATATTTGCACATATGTGTCCTATTTATTTCACTTAAGAGTATGGCCTCAGTGTGCATCCATTTAGCTATAAATGTCTCCAGTTTCTCATTCTTTATGGCTGAGTAGTACTCCATTTTATAAAAAAAAAATACATCTTCTTTATCCAGTTTCCAGTTGATGGGCCCTTGGGCTATTGCCAAGCTTCAGCTATTACAAACTGTGCCGCTATGAACATGGGTACACATATATCACTGTGGTATGATTCTTTTAATTCTTTTGGGAAGATACCCAGCAGAGGAATAGTTGGGTCAAATGGGACCTCTAATCCTAGTTTTTTGAGGTATCTGCATACTGATTTCCACAGTGGTTGCACCAGTCTACACTCCCACCAACAGTGGAGAAGGGTTCCATTTTCCCCCACAACCCCAACAGCATTTGTTATTGGTTGATTTCTTGATAGCAGCCATTCTTTTTCTTTTTAAGTGTAGGATTTTATTTATTTGAAAGTAAATAAGGCAGCTGTTGTTTTTGCTAAATAACATAAATGATGACATAGCTAGCTATAACTTCGAATTAAATTTGACTTTAGGACTGTAGCTCAGTGTAGCAAACATGCTTAGCGTGCACAAAGCCTTGGTTTTGATTCCCAGCACCTAAAAATAAAAACCTGATCTTACAGTACAAATGTGATGTGTTGAGACTTTGGTTTTAAAGGTCAGTCATAGTCATTGTCTAATAGCTGTTGTAGATCCTTGTTTTTGTTTTACATCTAGGCTGAAGCAGGAGGATCAAAAGTTCAAGGACAGCCTGAGCTCCACAGCAAGTTCAATGATGGCCTAGGCCACATAGTGAGAACTTCTATTGTACTAGCATATCGGATACTCTTAGGTTGTGTCCTGGCATGTTTCTACACCACAAAATTAAGCCTTTTATTTTAGAAGTATGCAGGAGCAGCCATTCTTTTTGGGGTGAGGTGGAATCTCAGTGTTTTCAACTGCATCTCTCGAATGACCAGTGACGTTGAACATTTTTTCATGTTCATTTGCTGTTTCTACTTCTTTGTCTGAGAAATGTCTGTTCATTTCAGATGCCCATTTTTGGATTGGGTCTTTACATTTGGGAGGTCTGATTTAAGTTCTTTATAGATTCTAGATAGCAGACCTTTCTCTGAGGAACAGCTGGTAAAAATTTTTCCCCACATTGCGGGTTGTCTCTTCACTGTTGGTGGTTTCTCTTGCTGTGCAGAAGCTTTTTAATAAGATGAGATCTAAGTTGTTGCTTCTTTGTGCTAGTTCACATGTGAATGAGGTTTTGTTCATGAAATATTTTCCTATGCCAATATCTTCAAGAGTTCTACCTAACCCCTCTTCCAGCTGGTTTAGTGTTTCTGTCTTAATATTTAGATCTTTGATCCATTTTGATTTTAGTTTAGTGCATAGTGAGAGATATAGGTCTAGTTTTAATCTTTGGCAAGTTGAAATCCAATTTTTCTAACCCCATTTATTAAAAAGGCTATCTTTCTTCCAGTGAGGGTGTCTGGCTCCTTTGTCAAAGATGAGGTGGCTGAGTATGTCTGGAGTTGTTTCTGCATCTTCTAATCTGTTCCACTGATTTTCGGGTCTGTATCTTTGCCAGTACCATGCTGTTTTTATCAAAGTAGTTTTGTAGTATAGTTTCAAGTTGGGAATTGCGATACCCCCTACCTTGTCTTTGTTGCCTAGGATAAAAGCACCCTGTCTTGTCTCCTTATCACTACCCTAAGCTCACTACCATGCTTCTGAGACTGAAGCTTCTCTTTCCTCATGTTAGTCTTTGTTTCTTTCAGGACCAAATAGAGGGAATAAACCAAGTTTGTAGGGTGGTGATGATAAAGTTTAGAGATAAAATAATTAAAAATACTGAATGTAGTGTTTAGCATATAATTAGGCACCAAATAAACATGATCACCCTACCAGTAGAGGGAACTTTTTGCAAAAATGTTTACATTCTTGGATGTGAACATAGGTGCAAATCAACTGGTTTCCAAATAAGCTTCATACACACTCTAAGGTGGCCTGGCCCCTCTGAGCACAAGGCCTTGGGTATCTAGTACTCACAACCAGCTGCTGCTGCAGGGCCTTCACTTGGTGCTGCAGGGCGTCCACCAGCTGGCTCTGCCTTTTGGTGGGGCTGCTGCTGGTGTATGTGAGCTGGGACAGGCCATTGAGAGCCTGCTTTAGTCTTTCTACATCATTGAGCAGTTCCGTTATCTTTTGTAAGAAAAAAAGTCACAGGAGAAGTACATATCATTCACTTATTCATATATAATGAACATCTTTGCATAGAAATTATTCCTTGAGACACAAACTTTACCTTTATATACCAGAAAGTGGAGGTATGAATACTGCCAAATTCTTATGAACAACAAACGTGTATCATTTCTTTAATTAAGTTACTCTCAGTAAATTTCTTACAAGAGCAATACCAAACTAAGAATGTATCCTTCCTAAGATTTGGGCATGAACTTAGTGTTTTTATTCTAATAATGCATAAGGATTTGTGAACGGAAATAAACTATCTTCCAGGGAAGGTTTGGAATACAGGAGGGTGGGGGGGTCTCTGTTCAACAGTGTGCATCTAGAATGGACTTACATGCCTTGTTCCTCTCCAGGGTTGCATTACTTAAGGTATTTTGTTGTACTGAGAGAGAGAGAGAGAGAAAAAAAAAAGTAGGAAGGCTGTTTAGAAAAAGAGCTCAGGCTTTGAATCAGACAGATCTGGCTTATATGAGACTGGGTAATTTTCTTTACTTTTCTGAGCCTTTAATTTCCTTATTGGTGAAAGAGGGTAAACCTTTCAGAGTTATGAAAAGCAAATACAACCATAAATATATGTCCCGTATACAGCATATGTTCAATAAATGGCAACGTGTACAAGGACATATTAATAATTAGCTGGTATATATTATATTTCCAATGACCTTCCAACGTGAGAGGACTGAAAACTCTGGGTCTTATGGGAAGACATGCCAGATGTTAATACTTGTACCTCTCCACTGAGGAGGACTGGGTCTGAATCTGCTTTTACTTACCACTATTTTCCCAGCACCCAGTATGTAGAAGGCATTTAATAATTACCTACTAAATGGATGAAACTGCAGTCTCATCTCCATAGTATAAACTATGTGACTACCAGTTTTAAAAATATTGTTGAGTATTTATTCTTCAAAATGTACCAAAAGAATGAAAGATAAAAAGAAAAGATAAGCTATAAACCTTGATCTTTTTTTAAATACATCTTGATCTTAAAAGCTAGATGAGAAGATCAATCATAGAACACAAGTCAAAAACATTTTAAATGGATGGCAAAGCCAAAACAAAATGTGTCTTTTGGACGAGGAACTACTTCTTGTAGGCTATATTGCACAGCAAAGGCTTCAGGAAGGAGGATAAAGTGTTACCGAACGTATAGGATTCAATTCAGCACAGAAAGGAGGGGTAGAACATTCTGGGTGAGCATACTAATCTATAGAAAGATAAGGAGGACAGACTGCTCAGTCCACTGGTACAAGTGAATGTCAAGATCAAGTATGGACACTCCCCAGTGTTCCTGGTTTCTTGCGGCATAGAAACATGGGCTTTTTTCCTCCTCTCCATTCCCATTCTTCAGACGTCATAAGCCCACTGGACTCTGACTTTTCATTTGAGGCAAGTGACTCTTGAGTCTCCCCATCTTTTTCAATTCTTGGCTATACCAAATGAAAGAACAGATGGGGAAAATGCTCTTGATTTTGTGTTTTTTCAATTCATAAGATTTTTGCACACCAGTAGTCAAACTGGAAAGGAGGCACTTTGATGATACTTTTATAAACCTGTCTGTCAGATACTATAGTAGAGTTCTATGCTCCTACTCCAGCAGGCCTGCTCTGGGCTTTCCAAGGCATAGCCATCCACACTATTTTGTGCCTACCTTATTATCCTTTGCTTCAATTTGTTTAGCAGATTCTTGTATCCTTCTCTGTAATTCTGTGATTGTTGTTAAAGACTTATCGCATCGTTCCTTTTGATCCTTGATTTCTTGCTCGATGCTGAAATGCAGTAATTCCTTCTCATCTTTTCCAGAGAAGTTCTTCTTTTTGGCATGCAAGACCTCCTCGCATACTTCGTCATACTTTCTGTTCAGATTGGCCAATTTTTCATTTAAGTTGGAAACCTGGGTCTCTAAATCATTTTTTGTTGCTTTATATTTAGACAAATCAATTACCTCTCTAGTCTCTAACTTTTTTAATGCTTGTTTAGTATTCTGAACTTCAGTCTGGAGTTTGGAGACTTCTTGGGTTTTGTTTTGGCTTTCTTTTTCCTTTTCTCTCAAGCTAGCTTTCATGACACCAACCTCTTTCTCAAATGCTTCTTTAACCTGCAGATGCTCTGCCAGTGGCACAGAAGAGTTCTTTTGATTTTCCAACAGCTGCTGCAGTTTGATCACTGTCTGCTGCTCTTTCTCAAAGCATCTCTGCTTATTCTTCAGTTCTTCCTTCAAGTTCTCAATTGTGCCATGAAGAGATTTTTTCAGGGCCTCCACCTGTTCCAATGAAACATGCTGTTTTTGCAAAAGATTTTGCGCTGCAAGGATCTCAGAGGTCTGTTTGGCCTTTTCCTCTGCTAGTTTCTCTTTGTTGGCCTTTACCTCGCTATATTTCTGTGACAGATCTTTTAACTGTTTGTTGAGCTCTTCTGTTTTTCTGCTCAGCACTCTTTCCATTTCACGGGAATTCTCCATCAGAGCATTCTTATCCTTTAACTCTTTCTGCAGGGTAATGATGTCCCTCTTTAACTTGTCACTCTCTTGCTTGCTTTTCTTGGCTTCTTCTTCTCTGACACTGCACTTCTGTGTCTGCTCTGATAACTTTTCTTTTAGTTCTTTCTCAGTTGCTTTGAATTTCTGCTCACACTCCTCAAAGCTGATAATTGGAGCATATTTTAGCTTGATGCACTCATGGATTGTGTCAAGTTCCTTTTTCTGGGCTTTAATTTCAGCATGCAGCGACACGATCTCCTCTTGGCCCTGGTTATAGTTGGCCAGAACTGCAGCCTTAGCCTCCTGCACCTCCTTCAGGCTCTGGCTCACAACACTCATCTTCCCCTCGTGCTCTGCCAGGCTGATGTACTCAGTTTTGATCTGATTCTGAGTGGTTTCCAGGTTTCTTTTTAATATTTCATTCTCATCTTTTATTTTTACAAATTCTTGGTTTATATCTTCAAATCTCTTCTTTGCATCAGACAATTCTCTGTTAGTCTTATCTAATGTGTTATTCAGTGCAGTTTTAGTCTCTTCATGGGTTTTAGCTGGCACATACTGGTTACTCAGAGTCTTTTTTAAGTTGGTGTTTTCAGACATGAGTGCATGAATTTTCTCTTGATCTTCACCACATTTTTTATTAAGTTCAGATAGTTGTTTTTTAAGTTCAACAATATTGGATTTCAGGGCCATTATCTCTTTTTCATGTTTCTCAGGAGGAATAAACACAGTTTCCAAGCGGTTAATGTTCTTACTCAACCTGTCATTTTCCATCAATAATTTCTCCACTTCAAATTTCTTTTCAGTATATTTTTGTGTTGCATCTGAAAGCTTTTTATTCAAATCATCAATATTAATGTCATGTGATTTTTTCATTTCTTCACTTACTTTTAAAGGCACATAATGATTTTTCATTTCCATGGTTAGGTTATGTACTTGCTGGTTGAGGAGCTTGTTGTCCAGATGAACCTTCTCGATCTCCTTTTGGAGAGTCTGGTTTTTCAGCATTAACTCTGTGACCTTCCTCCCAAGTTCTCCTGACTTTTGCTCTAGCCTGGCCTTGAGCTGCTCGTGTTCCTCTGGGCTGACTTGCTGAGCAAGCTTGGCCCTGACATTCTCGAGTTCTCTCTTTAATTGCCGGATTTCACTAAGTGATCGCTCATGTTCTCTTTCCATCTCAACTAGCTTTTTTGCTTTCTCATTCACTTCATTTGATAATAAGCTCTTCATGTTCTCAAATTTTTCTGTTGGGATGGAAAGGGCCACCTTGGCTAACAATTCTTTTAACTGCCCTTCTATCTCTGTGACCTTCCTTCCTTTCTTCTCCTGCTCCATTTCACACATACTAAATTCCTTCTGCAATCGTTTATTTTCCTCTACTAGCCTGCTTTCATCCCTCTTAAACTCTTCTATTAACATCTCATTTTGTTTGATTTGGTTTCGTAATTTTCCCACTTCTGCTGAGGCACCTTCATATTTCGTTTTCATGTCTTTCAACTGGTCCTTCAGTTCCTCCACTACTCTGTGGTTCCCTGTGGCTGCTTCACTCGTCAGGTGCTCCTTAAGGGCAAGAAAATGGGTCTGCATTTGCTTCACTTTGCCTTCTGACTCATACATCCTCTTCTGCACATCTTTTAAGGCATCTTCTAATTGCTTTATCTGCTCATCGGAGTCCTCCTTGACCCTTTCACATTCCAAGGCTAAAGCTTTACACTCTGCCACCTTGTGAGCCAGTTCATTTTGGAGTTTGATCCGGTCCTGTTTTGCTGAATCACAGAAAGCTCGCATTGCTTCTATCTCTTTCTTTAAAATCTCATTTTCTGAGTGTGAGGTTTGGCTGGGTAGCGACACCTCTAGGGGTCTTAACATAGACCTACTTTGCATGTGGACTGGCATTCCAGGGGAAGCGCACTGAAAAGGAAAAATACAACATCAATCACAACTTTATTTTGGTGTGACTTTCTAAAACAGAATATACTTGTAATTGCAAGGAAAAATACATTTGTATGCCCAAGCCAAAGATCTTTAATTTTTCATACCTATCTTCTGTTGCAATCCCTGTGATGAACAGAGGCTTACTACCAAAGACACTGCCATCACAGACACCACAGAGGGCACCAGTAACAGCAACGTCTGCTTTTAGTAAACTCCAGACAACAAGATAATCTTTGATAATGAAAATTTTACTCTAAGTATCTGTATGTAATAAATATGTAATACTGTTTCCTCTCTTCATAGACACAAATATTTTAAATATGTTTTAAAATTTAAAAAGTATTACCTGCGACTCCATCACATACATTTGACTTTGTTTAAGCACATCTTCTTTTCCTAAATAAGCCCAAATAAATTACATCTTAATTTAAATGTCCACACCAGCATAGGGCAAACATATTATTTCTTTTCTTTAATATTCAATTAAAAGCAAGAGGTACAACATAAAATTATTTTTGAGCTAAATGTGAGCTAAAATATCTACTGTTTTCTGTTTCTATAAATAAAAGGGCAGTATCTATAGCCTAGTGAACAATAAATACTAAATTGTTTAGGTTAAATAGGTTACATGGTTATTATAAAATATACAATCAAAATAAAAATGTTTCTTTGAAATTTATAGGATAAATACTACCTTTGTACTTAGCTAGACGATATAGTTTAATATGCAACTAAGAAGCAAAACAACTCAGATTTTTGTAGAAAATTTTTATAAAATTAGAGAATAAATAAAAGTAAAGACTAGTCATGTATGGTCCTAAAATAACAGAGTTATTTATGGAACTTGTAATTACAAAATGCTTACCAGCATCAAGATCGATTTCTTAAAATCAGAAAACTATGATTGTTTCGTTCCATAAAAAAACAAACCCTAGGCCAGGGATTTAGCTCAGTGGCTCCGTTGTCTGCTGCGCAAGCGCAAGGACCTGAGTTTAATCCCCAGTACCAAAAGTAAAAAACCCTAAAACCCTAATTATCATGAGATGAATGTATACAACAAAGCAAATTTGGTAACCTAGACAATTTACAACTTTAAGTTATAGGTGGCTACAGAAAACCAGGGCCACAGTGACTAACAGGTTTTATGCTAGGGTCCATAGTATTCATCTGACCCTTTTTCTAGCTCTATCTGTTGAGGTACATACTAAGAAACAGTAGGAGAATTACATGTGGCCAGATAAATAAATAGGCATGGATATTTTTTCTTGCTTGAACTAGGTGACCCATAACGATAATCCATACTTTCATACTCACGGTTACTGAAATGACCTCCTGATCCTAAATGATCACTCTGAAATCAGAAGCATACATTAAAACATTTTAGGAGAAGGCTGCTTTATTTTATAAAATGCAGTATCTACCTCACCTCTGAATGGTCCACTCATTAAAACCACATTTTTGACATTCCTTATTTCTATGGGCATTATTCTACTTGATCCCACAAAAAGACACTGCACTAGCAATAATCAGAGAGATCCATAGAAAATAAACTACTTCACTAAGCATTTTAATAAAAGCAGCCAATGTTTCAAGGTAAATCTTTATTACACTAAAGATAAAAAAGTAAGCCTCAAATGAACTGAAATAACTTTCAGTACCTAGTGTTTTCTGCTACTTTGCCTCAAAAAGAAGAAGTGCTACATTTCCATCAAGGACTCATTTTACTTTGCCACTGTTGGGAGCAGGAACCCCACACCTCCTTGTTGACGAGTATTAGTATAATCCCATCTTCAGAATTTACTTCTGAAGGCAAAAGGAGGCAGAGAGCAAGAAATGAAATGAGACAAAAGCTTACACACAGTAATAAATCTGCCAATGCATCAATTAGTAAAAGGAGAATAACAGTGACATTTTGGATGCCCACAACTAAAATACACATGTATTGCTCTTTCTCCCAAGTAAGAAGAATACAAAGAATCTAATACATAAGAGTATGCGGTGTAGTGCACTGTCCTTGGGTATAGCTCTAATAACTACATATCAAACCTGGAGTTAGGTGACCCAGATAAAGCAGTCTAGAGTTTCATAGCTAAGTTAATCCCACCTCCATTAAACCTCAGTGCCTCAAGTACATAGAAAAATAGCCATAAGCACAGTTAACTTCTTTGTTCTATGTAATATTTAATACTAGAATTTAGAATAACTTACAAAATGGCCTTATATATGTATGTGTTGTTGGGAAGTCACTGTGCACACATTAAGTTCAAAAAATGTGACTTGGTTTTATTATGTTTCCTACATGTTTCAATTGAAAATGAATACATGAATTCTACATAAAATTGGCCCCATTCTAAAACATTTGTATTTATCTATATTTTTCCTATAAACATAAGGGAAATATCCACATATTAAGGATAACACATAACTCAGTAATACTGTTGGCAGTTGATGAAAGTTTTCATTGTTGCTGTTATTGTTTGGTGCATGTGTGTGGTCCTGTGGACTGAATGGAGGACTCTACTATTAAGTCATATCCCTAAGCATGTGACATAATATTGTAGTGGGTATTCAAGTCATTTTTAGTTTTCACAAATGCTGGGTCACATAAAAAGTGGGGCCTGTAATTTCTTTTTGAAAGTAAAATAATCATTCTGAGTATAAAAATTCATCACAATCAATATGTACTAAGTGAGGAACATGTCCCCAATTACATAGAACCAGAAACATAAAACATTATGTACAATATGATCCCACCTTAAAATGAGTACAAAATACACAAAAGATGGAAAAGATTGGTGAGGTGCTAACAGCAGTATTATTATAGGTGGTTGTTTTTGTTTTGTTTTGTTTTTGAGACAAGGTCTTGCTATGTAGTTCAGGCTAGCCTTGAACTTACTATGTACCCCAGGCTAGCCACGAACTCATGACAATCTTCCTGTCTCAGCCTCCTAAATTCTGGGATTACAGGCATGAGCCACCACACCCAACAAATGTCTTTATTTTCTGCTTCTAGTATATCTGATTTTCTAATTTTTAGAAAATAAATATATAATGGTTTTAAATAAGAAAAATAAGTTACTTTTCTATAATTTATTATGACCTTACTGAAAGTTATAAATTTGACTAATTTGAGTCTGTCCAAAGCTATAGAAAAACATCATATTCCTAGGACATAGATTCTATATCCTAGAAGTAATATGTGAATAGTACCCAAATTACAAGTGTCAGACTGACGAATACCTCACAGGTCCTGTCTATGCACTTGTATTTTCTCATCTAACCTACTCCAAGTGTAAAACTAGATGGGATCACGAAGAGCACCAAGGAGCCAGATGCCTGGGCTCAAGTTCCAGCTCTGCCACTTCTGTCTGTAAATCCTTCCCTGGGTGAGCATCTCTCTTCCTCAGCCTCTCTGCACATAAAGTGCAGATACCAACAACACCCATCCCACAGGGTTGCTTTATTTACTGCTGTGTGTACAGTGCACAGAGTAGTTCCCAACACAGGGTCCGTACCATGACGATGCTGGCTATTACTACATTCCCAGTTGACCTTAAAAAGGAGTCTCCAAATGTGAAAGGACAGAAGCCACTGTAGTTACAGCTTTTTTTAGTTTAAAAAACTGTTTCTGAGTAATCTTTAGAATGAAGCCATAAATACAGAACACTTTTTGTTCTCATTTTAAAAAATGTACCCAGGTATAATTCAGCTGCAGTCAAGTATATTGGTATTAAGTGTGCAGTTGCACATGTCCACCTTGTGTGAGCACAACCCAGATCAAGATACGCAATGTTCACTGTAGCCCAGAAGCTTCATCACACCCCACCTCACCAAAGGGCAGCCATCACTCTAAACACCTCAGACTGGTTTAGGTGTTGTTGGGCTTCACAGTAATGGAGCTGTGTAGTGTAATGGACCTATGTAGTATGCTTTGAGTCTGATTTCTTTCGTGCAACATTATACCTGTGAAATTCACCCCTATTTTACATTGTTTTTCATAGCTGCAATTATTATTTTCAAGAAAAGTTACTTTTTGTTACTGTCTGCAGATCCCTCAAATGTGCTGAAACTAATTCCCATTGCAGTGGTATTAAGAGATGGGGCCTTGAGGAAAGTGATTAAGTCTCAATGGCTCCGCTTCATGAACGAATGAGTGCCTTATAAGAGAGCTGTAGAGAACTAGCCTAGCCCCTTTTTTGCCCTTAAGCATTCTGCCAAGTGAGGGCACACACAGCACTCGCCCCTTCTGCCACGTGAAGGTGCTACGAGAAGACCTTCAGCAGACACCAAACACTGGCACCCTGATCTTGGCCTTCCCAGCCACCATAACTGTGAGAAATGCATTTCTGTTAAGTTATCCAGCCTCAGGTATTTTGTTGTAGAGGCACAAATGGACTATGACACTTTTTAAAAAATATACTTGGGAGTTAGTCCTCAGTAAGAATCAGCCACTTTCTTCTGTGTCCCCCAGTGATGAAAGACACATATGCTATAGACTTGCTAAATAAATCTATGTAATTAAAAGTCAGAGTAGCTATGCTGTCAGTGGGGAGAGTGGGTAATGACGAGAAATGAGCATGAGGGACATTTCTGGGTGCTGCTGTTCTGTTCCTTGATCTGGGTGTGTTCAGCTTATGAGAATTCATCAACTTATCCACTTTTATTTTTATTTATTTATTTTTTTGGTACCGGGGATCGAACTCGGGACTTCCCGCTTGCAAGGCAGGCGGCGGAACCATTGAGCTAAATCCCTGGCCCAGCTTATCCACTTTTAACATGGGTACTTTTTAATGTCTATTGTATTTCAACAAAATGTTTAAAAAAATATGGCCTTGGAAAAACTAAAAACTAATTGATTCAATCAAAGGCGAGCATATGATCTGAGCCTTATTAACACACCACTCTGACCAAGGGATTCTGATAAACCCACATATACACGACCCTTCTCCAGATAACTGTGAACACACCACCCTTTATGTGAGGCTTTACTATCATGGCCAGCACCATCCTGCAAATATACAGCTAAAAAGCTGAAGTTCTGAACAGAGGAGAATGGACAAAAAGGTTAGGGACAAGAAAACTGGGATGAGACTGTCAGCTACATATTAGCCAACTGAAAGGATCTCACTGAACCTTTATAATGCTGTGCAGAAAGGGAAAAGACTTAAATAAACTACCCAAGGTCACACTGTGAAGAACAGATTTAGAATTCAAATTCAACTCTGACACCAAGCCATTTACTAGCTTCATTATGAATTCTGGGAAATAATTTAAGCTTTCTATACCTCAAAATACTTAAATCTATTTTTCAGAGCCTCAATGGTTCTTAAGCTTTCTTCGTGTTGCTTTTCTTTAGTTGCCAAAAGGGACTTCAGCTTTTCTCTCTGAAATGGAAAGGAGTAAATCAGAGTAAAATCACTGTGTTCTTGATATAGGGTTAAAAATGAGTTGGAATTATTCTGAGGACTGGAGTTAATGAGTTCTCCAAAGTGGTAGATTTTAACTATTAGTAGACTTGTTAATTATATGAATAAAACACATAATATATACAAACAATATTACGAAAAATTCAAATTTCTATTGCTTTAAATCACTATTTTCACATTTTCTTCATATAGCTTAGAATTTTTCATGAGAAGTTTCATGGAAAACTACATTCAAAACAATTTTACAGTCACATATAGCTTTTGTGTTTCCCTGTGAACAATGATCAGAAATAGAATCCTGGTCTCCATTTCAATTCAGGACTTAAACTTTTATTGCAATATCACCCTCAATTTACAAAACATTCTATAGCTTTAAAATAAAATTCATCATCCTACCTCACTTTCCAGATCATCAGCAACCATTACTTCCTAAATATAAGAAGAAGGAGGGTATTTTAATTCTTGAAAATTTATTTTAAAAGGCAAGAGTTTGGCAAATACACTGCCCGCCCCCCCCAGTACTGGGGATCAAACTCAGGACCTTGCACTTGCCAGGCAGGCACAGTGCCACTGAGCTATATCCCTGGCCCATCAAATAGCTTCTAAAAAGACTAGTATATGTCTTTAAAACTGGGGACAATGACATGAGAAGAAAATGTCTCTGTGGGCATATAGAACTCCAACTAGCCATGATAAAAAAAAAAATCTACACCTAGACATGTAATAGTCAAGATCCCAGAAACCCAACAGAAGAACAAAATCCTACAGGCAGGCAGAGAAAAGAAACAAATCACCTACAAAGGAAAGCCCATCAGAATCATGGCAGACTTCTCAACACAAACCCTCCAATCAAGGTCAGCCTGGAGCAAAGTATTTCAAGTCCTAAAAGAAAATAACTTCCAACCTAGACTGTTGTATCTGGCAAAATTATCTTTCAAAATCGATGGGGAAAATTAGATACTTTCATGACATTGAACACCTGAGAAATTTCATGAACACCAAACCAGCACGCCAAACAATTCTAAGCAATATCCTAGAAAAAGACAACGAAGGTCACAACTCCATGAGGCCCAACAGAGGGAAGCCACCAGGCAAGTTAAGACACTAAAAGGAAAGGGGGAAAAAATAAGAAATAAAAGAGCCAACAACAGTAAAGCATCATGACAAGGATGAGTCACTATCTATCAATTATAACTATCAATGTTAATGTCCTCAATTCACCAATCAAAAGAAATAGACTGGCAGAATGGATTAAGAAGCAAAATCCAGCAATATGCTGTATACAAGAAACACATCTAACTCAAAAGGAAATTCACAGACTGAAAGTAAAAGGATGGAAAACAGTTCTCCACGTGACAGGAACCCAGAAAAAGCAGGCGTAGCAATCTTATTTGCAGACAAAGTAGATTTCAAACCAAAACTAATTAAGAGAGACAAAGATGGTCATTACATCCTTGTGAAGGGAACAATCCAAGAGGAAGAGATGACAATTCTAAATATTTATGCACCAAATAGGAATGCCCCCAACTATACAAAACAAATATTAATGGACATGAAAAACCAAATAAACACTAATAAAATTGTAATGGGGGACCTCAGTACCCCACTATCACAAATAGACAGATCATCTAGACAAAAAATTAACAATGAAATTCTAGAACCAAACCAAGCTACTGAACAAATGACCTTAATAGATGTTTACAGAGGGTTCCACCCACAAAATCAGAATACACATTCTTTTCAGCTGCACATGGCTCGTTCTCCAAAATAGACCACATGCTAGCTCACAGGACATGTCTAAGTAAATGTAAAAGAACTGAAGTTACCCCCGTATATTATCAGACCATAGTGCAATAAAATTGGAGATCAATAACATAAGAAATCGCAAAACTCCCACAAACACATGGAAATTGAATAACACCCTCCTGAACAACTAATGGGTCACAGAGGAAATTAAAGAAGAAATTGGACAGTTTCTACAAGTAAATGATAATGCCAGTACAACATACAGGAATCTATGGGACACAATGAAAGCAATTCTACACTGGAGATTCATAGCAATGAATGCCCATATTAGGAAAACAGAGAGAACTCAAATAAATAACCTAATGCAGAACCTCAAGCTTCAAGAAAAAGAAGAGCACAACAAACCCAAAGCTCGTACAAGAGAGGAAATTATAAGGATCGGAGCAGAAATCAATGCAATGGAGACTACGAGAATGATACAGAAAATTAATGAATCAAAGAGTTGGTTTTTTGAAAGAATAAATAAAACCAATAAACTTTTAGCCAACCTTATCAAAAAAAGGAGAGAAAAGGCTCAAATTCATGCAATTAAGAAAGAAAAAGGGGAAGTCACAACAGACCCAGCAGAAATCCAGAGGATCATCAATACATACTTTGAGAACCTGTACTCTAATAAAATGGAAAACTGTGGGGGGCCTTGCCCCCCCGCTAGAACTCTTGAGTGCCTTTTACGGACATATCCGGGCCTGCTGCAAATC